TTGGGGACATCGGGGACACTGGGGGGGATTGGAGACATTGGGGACATTTGGGGACATTGGGGATGTTGGGGACATTTATGGGATTTGGGACATTTGGGGACGTTGGGGACATAGAGGGATTTGGGGACAGTGGGGACATCGAGGGGACATTGGGAACATTCATGTTTGGGGACATTTGGGGACATTTGGGGGATTGGAGACATTTGGGGACATTTGGGGATGTTGGGGACATTGGGGACAGCGGGGATTGGGGCCCCTGGGGCCCCTGGGCACATTGGGGACATTGGGGACATTGGGGACAGCGGGGACACTTGGGGGGATTGGGTTCAGTGGGGACATTTGGGGACATTGGGGACATTTGGGGGACTGGGGACGTTGGGCCCATTGGGGACACTGGGGACCCTGGGGACATTGGGGACATTGGAGATATTGGGGACATTTGGGGACATTTGGGGACGTTGGGGACAGTACCTGTCAGGGGGGAGAAGTCGGCGCGCTCGGGGTCGAAGAGGTCGAGGACCCCCAAGGCCTTGAGGGGACCCCGGAGGTCCCAGGAGGTCTCCAGGGAGAAGCTGGAACGGGGGGAGGGGACACTTGAGGGGGGGTGGCAGTGTCCCCAAGTGTCCCCAATCTCCCACTGTCCCCAATGTCCTCAATGTCCCCCAATGTCTCCAGTGTCCCCAACACCCCCAATGTCCCAAATTCCCCCCAATGTCCCCAATGTTCCCAAACCCCCCGGTGTCCCCAATCCTCCCAATGTCCCCAATGTCCCAAATCCCATAAATGTCCCCAAATGTCCCCACTGCACCCAATCCCCCCAATGTCTCAAGATGAGAGCAGGTGACACAAGTGACACGGCAGGTGCCAGCAGGTGAGTTGAGGTGACCGGAGGTGACACAGGTGACACACAGGTGACACACAGGTGACACAGGAGGTGACACAGGAGGTGACACAGGTGACACAGGAGGTGACACAGGTGACACACAGGTGACACAGGAGGTGACACAGGTGACACATAGGTGACACAGGAGGTGACGCAGGTGACACAGGAGGTGACACACAGGTGACACACAAGTGACACAGGAGGTGTCACAGGCGACACAGGTGACATACAGGTAACACAGATGACACAGGAGGTGACACAGGTGACACAGGAGGTGTCACAGGCAACACAGGTGACACACAGGTAACACAGGAGGTGACCCAGATGACACAGGAGGTGACACACAGGTGACACAGATGACATAGGAGGTGACACAGGAGGTGACACAGGTGACACAGGTGACACAGGAGGTGACACAGGTGACACAGGTGACACACAGGTGACACAGGTGACACAGATAACACAGTACATGACACACAGGTGACACAGGAGGTGTCACAGGTGACACAGATGACACAGGAGGTGACACAGGTGACACACAGGTGACACAGGAGGTGACACAGGTGACACAGGAGGTGACACACAGGTGACACAGGTGACACACAGGTGACACACAGGTGACACAGGTGTCCCCAGGTGTCCCCGGGCTCACCGCAGCGCAGCCGCAGCGTCACCTCCATCATGGGAGCGGTGTCCCCGCTGTCCCCGCTGTCCCCGGGCCGCAGGAAGGGCCGGGCGCGGGTGGCGCGGGGGGGGAAGGGCACGGCCCAGGACCCCCCGAAGAACTCGGCGCTGGCCACCAGGAGCCGGGCACCGGGAGCCACCGCCCCGGGGGCCACCAGGCCGGCCACCAGCCCTGGGGGGACAGCGCGGGGTCACCGAGGCTGCAGGACCCCAAAAAACCCAACTGATCCCAAAAAACCCTGCTGATCCCAAAAAAAAGGGACGCAAACTTAATAATCCCCAAAAAAACCTCATTGATCCCAAAAAGGGGTCCCAGGAGATACCACCCTGGGGCCACCAGGCCGGCCACCAGCCCTGGGGGGACAGCGCGGGGTCACCACCTGGCACAGGGGTGTCACCAGGAGCACAGATCCCAGAAAAATCCAACTGATCCCAAAAAACCCCAACTGATCACCAAAAAACCCCATTGATCCCAAAAAAATTCATTGATCCCAAAAAGGGGGCCCAGGAGATACCACCCTGGGGCCACCAGGCCGGCCACCAGCCCTGAGGGGACAGCGCGGGGTCACCGAGGGTGCAGGACCCCAAAAAACCCAACTGATCCCAAAAAACCCCAACTGATCCCAAAAAAACCCTGCTGATCCCAAAAAACCCTGCTGATCCCAAAAAATCCCACTGATCCCAAAAAGGGGTCCCAGGAGCCACCGTCCCGGGGACACCAGGCCGGCCACCAGCCCTGGGGGGACAGCGCGGGGTCACCGAGGCTGCAGGACCCCAAAAATCACATTGATCACCAAAAAACCCCGCTGATCACCAAAAAACCCCGCTGATCCCAAAAAAACCCAATTGATCCCAAAAAACCCCATTGATCCCAAAAAAACCTCCACTGATGCCCCCCAAGAAAACCCCATTGATCCCAAAAAATCCCATTGATCCCCAAAAAAATCCCATTGATCCCAAAAACCCCATTGGTCCCAAAAAATCCCATTGATCCCCAAAAAAATCCCATTGATCCCAAAAACCCCATTGGTCCCAAAAAATCCCATTGATCCCCAAAAAAATCCCATTGATCCCAAAAACCCCATTGGTCCCAAAAAATCCCATTGATCCTAAAAAATCCCATTGATCCCCAAAAAATCCCATTGGTCCCAAAAAACCCCATTGATCCCAAAAAATCCCGTTGATCCCCAAAAAATCCCATTGATCCCAAAAACCCCATTGGTCCCAAAAAATCCCATTGATCCTAAAAAATCCCATTGATCCCCAAAAAACCCCATTGATCCTAAAAAATCCCATTGATCCCCAAAAAATCCCATTGGTCCCAAAAAAATCCTATTGATCCAAGAAAACCCCATTGATCCCCAAAACCCCATTGATCCTAAAAAACCCCATTGATCCCCCCAAAAAATCCCATCGATTCAAAAAAAAATGCATTGATCACCCCAAAAAGGGGTCCCAGGGGTCCCGCATCCCTCGCCCCCTCCCCAAAAAAGGGATCCCAGGGGTTCCCAAACCCACTGACCCCCCCCAAAGGGGTTCCACCGCCCCCTCCCCAAAAAGGGATCCCCTCAACCCCTCCCCAATCCTGGGGGTCCCGCACCCCTCGCCCCCTCCCCAAAAAGGGGTCCCGCACCCACCGCCCCCTCTCCAAAAGGATCCCTTCACCCCCTCCCCAGTCCCGGGGGTCCTGCACCCCTCGCCCCCTCCCCAAAGGGGTCCCCTCTCCCCCTCCCCAATCCCGGGGGTCTCACCGCGGGTCCTGGCCCGGGCCCAGGCGTTGAGGACCCTCCTGGCCCCCTCCCCATTTGCGAGGTCCAGGCGGGCGAGGCTGCGGGGCCCCAGGGCCCGCGCCAGGCGGGTGACAAAGCCACCCCTCAGGGCCACCCCGCGGGCCACAAAGACCCCCTGGGCCACCTCCAGGGTGTGGCCGGGACCCCCCAGCGCCCGGCGCAGCCCCCGCAGCTCGGCCGAGACCCCCGGGCCTGCGGGGAAACTGAGTCACGGAGGGGACAGGGGATGTTTGGGGACAGGGATGCTGGTGTGGGGACAGGGACAGCAGAGTGTCCCCAGTGGGGACAGGGAACTTGAAACCCACCCCCCGCCATGGGGACAGGGACAGCAGAGTGTCCCCAGTGGGGGGACACAGTGATGTCACCGCCATGGGGACAGGGACAGCAGAGTGTCCCCAATGGGGACAAGGACCTCAAAACCCATCCCCCATGGCGACAATGACCCCAAGGTGTTTCCAAAGGGGACAACGAACCCAACATGTCCCTCATGGGGACAATGACCTCAAACCATCCCCCCCCCCATGGGGACAATGACCCCAAGGTGTCCCCAGTGGGGACAAGGACCTCAGATCCCTGGCCTCATGGGGACAACGATCTCAAGGTGTCCCCATGGGGACAATGAAACCAGGGTGTCCCCAATGGGGACAATGACCTCAAACGCCCCCTCCCATGGTGACAATGACCTCAAGCCTCCCTCCTCCATGGGGACAATGACCTCAAATCCCACCCCTCCCCAGGGACAGGGACACCGGAATGTTCCCAATGGGGACAATGACCTCAAATCCCTCCCCACCATGGTGACAATGCCCCCAAGGTGTCCCCAATGGGGACAGTGACCTGAAGGCGTCCCCAGTGGGGACAAGGACCTTAAAACCCAATCTCCCATGATGTGAGGTGACCTGGAGGCGTCCCCAGTGGGGACAATGACCTCAAACCCCCGTCCTCCTCAGGACAATGACCTCGAGGTGTCCCCAGCGGTGACAATGCCCCTGAGGTGTCCCCTCCAGGTCCCCTGTCCCCCTCACCGTCGATGCTGAAGCCGGTGGCCACCTCCAGCTGCCGCCGTCCCCTCCCGGCCGTGGCCACCTGCAGGGCCACCAGCACCGAGGTGGCCCCGTAGGGCGCGAAGACAACATTGGTGTCACCTCGGGCCGCCAGCGCCGCCCGGAACAGCCGCAGCCCAAAATCTGTCACCAGCTGGGCCACCTGGGTGGGTTCCGGTGTCCCTGAGCCTGCCGAGGCCACCAGGGCCACCAGGGCCAGCAGGGTCACCAGGGTCACCCGCATCCTGGAGAGACATGGGGACACTGGAGTCACTGAGGACACTGGGGACACCGGGGATGCTGGGGTTACTGGGGACACTGGGGACATGGGGCAGCCCCTTCCCCCTCCCAGGGGACACTGAGGTGACACTTGGGGTAGCACCAGGGTGGGTCCAGTGCTGGTGTCACCTCCAGTCCCAGTCCCGATCCTAAACCCAGTCCTGGTCCCAGTCCCAGCCCCGGTGTCATCCCAGTCCCAATCCTGATCCTAATCCCAATCCCAGTCCCAGTCCCAATCCCACTCCCGAGGGTGATTCTAGTTCCAGTTCCAGTTCTGGTCCCAGTTCCACTCCTGATGCTGGTCCCAGTTCCAGTACTGGTCCCAGTCCTGGTCCCAAACCGAGTTCCAGTTCCAGTCCCAGTCCCATCCCAATCCCAGTCCCAGTCCCATTCCCATTCCCATCCCAGTCCCAGTCCCAGTTCCAGTCCCAGTCAATCCCAGTCCCACCCCAGTCCCAGTTCCAGTCCCAGTCCCAGTTCCAGTCCCATCCCAGTCCCAGTCCCATCCCAGTCCCAGTTGCAGTCCCATCCCAGTCCCAGTCCCATCCCAGTCCCAGTCCCATCCCAGTGCCGCTGCCCCCTCACCTCTCTCTGGTCTTGGTCCCGGTTCTGCTGTCCCGGAATCAGCTCCGTTCTGCTCCCAGTATCCCGGTACCGGTCCCGGTCTCACTCCCAGTATCCCAGTCCCAGTCCTAGTCCCGGTGTCCCAATCCTGATCCCGGTCCCAGTGTCCCGGTTCCGATGTCCCAGTCTCGGCCCCGCTGTTTTAATGCCGGTTCTAATGTCCCGATCCCGTTCCCAATGTCCTGGTCCCGGTCCAGCTGTCCCGGTCCCGGTGTTTTAATCCCGTTCCCGCTGTCCCGGTCCCGGTTGTGTTCCCGTTCCCGCTGTCCGGTGTCCCCCTCTTACGTCACCACCCTTGTCCCTTCCCATGACCCCTCTGTGACCCCCGTGACCCCCCCATGACGCCACTGTGACACCCCCGGGGGTCACCTTTGTCCCCTCTGTCACCCCCGTGTCCCC